GAGTGCCCGGCTCGAGCCGCGGACTCTGCCCCTGCCCCTGCCCCGAACCCGCCTCCTGGCCCTCCGCAGCCTGCAGGCGGCCGAGCCCTGAGCCTTGGGCAGTCCCTGCCGCCCTTCCCCTTGTCAGGCGTCTTCCTGGCCTGCGCCCCAGTCCCTCGACCAGTTGGCGTGCCTGCCTGTTTCCCCCAGGACAGAGCCCAAACTCCGTAGAAGACTCGGGGTGCGGCCTGACCCTGCCCGGCTTTCCCGGGAACCCCTCCGCTCAGCTCTGCTCACCCAGGTTCTGCCCCAGCCGGGAGCCTGCAGTTCTGGAACTCTCCGTTTCCTCTGGGGTTTTGTCTGGTTTCTTCCGGGGGCCTCATATCCTGTTATCTGGCTGCTCTCCCCCCTTCAGCTGCCCCTTCCTCCAGGCAGCCTCCCTGCCCTGCCAGGCCGCTGAGATCTGTCTGTAGGTCGTCTTGCAGTATTGCAGTTGGCCGGTTGCTTGTTGGTGCTGCTAACTCCACCGGTCTGCCCCAGGCCTGGCGGAGGGCTGGCCGGTTAGTGCTGTGGACGGCACTGATGGGGCTCAGGGTTCTGAGGTGGGTGCCTAGTGAGTGGGTGCGCATCATCCAGTCCGAGGCCAGTAAGTGACACAAGGCCAGAGAGCGGGTTGTCCCCCTCCTACCACACTGGCAGGGCCTGGAGGTTCTTCTCTTCCTCCCCGGCCGCCTCTGTCGTCCCTTGCTGTCCAGGGTAGAGCGGATCGTGGTCCTGCCCTCAGGGAGTCTGTCGTACGTGTGCATGCATTTGTGCGTGGGGGGGATCCGGGAAGCGTGTAAATACAGGCTGTAGAGACCAGCCGTGTGCAGGTCCTGAGCCACCCTGAGGGCCCTGGGAGCGCTGGGAGTGAGCGCCAGAGTGGGGGTGGGATGGGAGGGGTCCCAGCAGCAGGGTGCGGGTGGCGGTCCTGAAGCAGGAGCCCTGGGCAGTTGGGGAGTAGGGTCTCGGAGCGAGAGCAGAGGTCGGCCACTGGGGCTGCGAGCCTGGCAGCTGTATCCTGGGAGGTAGGGGGCCGCGAGGACACCCCATAAGGGTGGATCTGTGGTGTGAGGAGTGGGGGTGCTGGGGCTGCTGGCGGGGAGACCAGGCGGTGTTTGGGGAGACAGGTAGGGCCAGCAGGCGCCACTGGCAGGTCGTTCAGGTTTGGAGTGGGGGACGGTCTCCGGCCTGGCTAGTGGGCTTGTCACTTGGTCACCCTTCGCCTGCCTGCACGTAGCCAGGCCTTGCTGGGCGTAGGCCTCGTGCTGCCCGGCCTGGACCTGTGGGAAAACCATCAGGCTGCTGTTCTCGGCCTGGGCCCTGGGCGTCTGAGCTCCCCTGGCTCCTGCACGAGCTCCCCGGCGCCAGGCAGTTGCCGCGCTCGGAGCCGCGTGGCAGGCCGTGTCCTGAGAGCACCCGTGGGTGAGGCCTGGGTCCTGGGAGTCTGGGCCCCCCGACAGGGCATCTGTCCTTGTCTTCCGACCTGGCTCTCAGCTCTCCCTCGGCCCCGGATCCCGCCGAGTGTGTGCAACCCTCCAGTCCCCTTCTCCCAGGGCCAGAGGCAGCAGGGGTGTGGGAGCCACGTGCACACCGCACATGCGTGTGCCTGTGCGTACTGCCTCTGAACCTCTGCCCCTGGGCCCACCGTGACCCAAAACCTGAAGGTGCCGGCCTTTCGTGTGCCAGGGTGGGGCAGGCCAGAGCCGGGCTCCCTCCTCGGCCTGCGTGGGCAGGTGTAGGCACCTGTGAACGTCTCACCGCGTTTCATGGCCTTCTACCGAAGGGCATGTCAGAGGCTCCCCTCCCAGTCGGCGTGTCCCCAGGTGGGGAGCGGGGCATGCGTGTGTGGCTGGGGATGAGGCCTGGGAGGCCCAGGCTCTGGCCACCCACGCTCCGGCCTCTGCTGGCCAACCTGGCTGGGCCGGGCAGGGAGGACCATTGTCCAGGCCCAGGAGTGCCGGCAGCTGGACGCATCCTGCCTTTGTTCTAGAGCTTTCCTTTGCTGCGCTTCCTGTGTTGGGCTCCAGGCTCCTGTCTGCTGGGTCCTGTGAGGCCCGGGGGCCATGAGCACAGGGGCCTGGCTGCCATGGGTGCCTGTGGGGCCCGCCTTGTCCCGCTTGGCCTCCCAGAGCGTAGGAGACTTCTCCAGGGGCTGCAGGGAGATGGTGGGAGTGTCTGGGCAGAGGGACAGAGGCCTTGGGGTTGGGGTGGCCTTGCAGGCTCTCCGGGCAGTGGTGCCTACGAGCCGGAGCCTGGGTCGCGGGGCTCCTTTGGGCTGGCTGTGGTGTGAGGCGGAGGGTGTGGGAGCCTGGGGGGAGGGAGGGAACCCCACATGCCATGTTCCCGCAGGACTTCCCACTGCACGACGTGGAGGCCTGCGCCTGCGAGGCTCCCGGGGGCTTGGCTTGGACGGCGATGGGGCTGGGCTGCAGCCTCCTAACGGGGCTCTCGTCTGGGGCGGCCGCC